TATGGATAGGAGCACACCAAAATTCCCACGCCAAAACCTTCAAGAAACCCTTGAAGGATCCCTTAAAGAAGCCCTTAAAGATTTCTTGAAGGAACCCATGTATATATATATATATATATATATATATACATACATACATACATATATATATATATGTATATGTATAACCGTTACAGGAGCCCGTAGAGGGGCCCCTAAACCCTAAACCCCAGACCCTAAACCCAAACCGACTTTTTACCCCTTTGGCCCGCCCTCTGCCTGCTGCGGCTTTGGCCCAGATCCTGACGTCACGGGTCTCTTCGGGGTCCTTTGTTTGGGGGATTCGGGTTGCGGTCTAGGGCCTTTAGGGAAGGGCCTTCATAACTACAAGCAGGATGGGGATTTAGTCTAGTTAGAGAACACGAAGGACCAAGTAGTATTCGGAAATTATGATGCCTCCAGAACAGGTTTGGACACTCAGGATTCTGGAATTTAGGGCTCGGTTCAGGGTCGATCCACGAATTGCCTCGCTCTGCCTCACGGCGCAGAAAATCGCCGGAAGAAGCTGACCACCTTGCTTCATATGCAGCCCCCCGCATCCAGGCAGGTGGATGATTTCCAACCGCTGCCGGCTGTTTTCCAGCCGAAGCTCATCAAGTTCTCCTCTCCCCGTCCTCATCCCCCTCCTCCGCCTCCGCCGGATTGTCCCTCCACTTCTGACGAATGTCGTACTGCGTCTGGAAGTGGTTCGGGTACCGGTTCTTCAGGAGGCCCGGGAAGAGCTTGTGGCTCCCGAAGCAACGACTCTTGCTGCGGAGCCACCTACAAGCTCTCACCTTTGGGGAACCTTGCTCAAAGACTGCCGGTCGGTGAGATCCGTGCCAGAAGACGTGCTGCTACAGGCAGTCTAGAGCAGCCCGAGCGGCTGCACAACCGTCATCCCCAAAGGGCCCAAAGTACCAATATAGTAGAATGCACGGTTTCTATATTAAGAATTACTCTTATGAATTTGGGAAGTAGTCCCCATATCAGTACCTAGGACCCTTTGGATCTCGGTGCCATCTGAACCTTTGTAGCAACTGGTGTTCTAGGATGCCCAGTAACCTAGGAATAAAGAGGGCTGCCTTCTTGGTATTGGGTAACTTTATAAGGAACCTAGGAAATAAGGGCACTGCTGGGCATCCTAGTGTTTTGTCTGGCTATGAAGAACTGTCCTCCTCCAAGCTTTGTGATGGCAGCCCTGGGTATTCTCAGAAAGCTCCTAGTACATGTGCAGGAATACAGAATCTTATATCTGAAACCGCCAGCCCTAACAAGGATTCCCCGAAACCCTATTTATAAACCCTGAACTCTGAAACTCTAAACCCAAACCCTCCAACGAACGCAACTCTTCAGGATTCTAGAAACAACCCGCATCGCCAGCCAGACATGCCCGGAAAAAGAGACGAAACTCCACATCAACTAGGGTCGCCTAATTAAACTTAAACCCCACAGCCCCTAACCCCCGGAGCGCCGGCCGTAAACCCTAGAAACCTTGGAGCCCTAAACCCTAAAAGCCCTAAACCCGCAACCCTAAAACCCTAAACCCCTAAACCCTATACACCTTAACCCCTAAAACCCTCAACCCCTAAAGCCCTAAACCCCTAAAAGCCCTAAACCCTAAATCCTATAAAGCCCTAAGCCCTAAACCCTAAAACCCCTAAAGCCCTAAACCGCTAAAGACCTATACCCCTAAAGCCCTAAACCCCTATAAAGCCCTAAAGCCCTAAAGCACCTAAACCCTAAATCCCTATAAACCCTAAATTGGGGATCCGGACAGGCTCCTTCTCAGCTTTGGCCGACCGGTCGGGTGCCTGCGTATAACTTGAGGTTTGGGTTTAGGGTGGGCTCCTTTAAAGGGTTCCTGTAAGGGATCTATAAGGGTTACTATTAAGGGCTCCATAAGGGTTTAGGCGTTTAGGGTTTAAGCTTTAGGGTCTATGTTTTCTTTGAACTTGTTGTTTAGGGTTCAAGGATTCCTTAAACCCCCGAAAGTAGGTAAAATAATGGCCTCATACCTGTAAAAGGCTAAACCCTGAACTGAAGCTGGTTCACCCCAGGAGGTCGCTGGCAGTCCGAGGATCCTTGGGGGGTTTAGGTATACTTAGTTGCTACCCTAATGCTCCTAAGAGGGTTTAGGGGTTTAGGGTTTAGGGGTTTAGGGTTTAGAGTTTTAGGGTTTTGGGTTATAGTACCCTAATGCTCCTAAGAGGGTCTTGGGCTTTCTGAGGGAAGGTTTCGGCTTTGGGGGCTAGGGTTTGGGATCTCACTACAAGGGACCATGAGCCTTAGGCTAAGCCCCAAAAAGTTGCACACTTTCAGTTTTATAGTGGGGCAGTATTCTCCCCAAGAAGTGTAAAGTGTATCCACTCAGCTACTAAGTTATAAGCCAAGGGCCTGGCAAAGCCGGAGCCAGGCGCCGAAATCTTACTTCGAGGATCCGTATATACCCCCTTATAATTAAGGCCAACAAGGTAAGGATATCCCTATAATATGCTTGTGCTTGTGTTCTCTTTGGGTCCCTAATTCTTGTCTGAATTTACTAGGAACGTAAGACTTGGCAAGAATATCACCTCATAAGCCCTACCTGAGCCCCCAAAGTATGTAGAATAAGAACCTTTTATAGATATTAGGCAAAAATATTTTGCCTTCGGGGGGGGGGGGGTGTGGCGTAGGTACAATTTAAGTAGAGCTCTATTTCGGGCTATGGCCTCCGTAAGGAGGGTCAAAAAACAGAACAAGCTCTGCTCCTGTGTGAAGCACCTCTCGGTGGGGTTAGAGCGATTAAGCTTACCCATAGGCTCCACAGTAGTTCCTTGTTGGGCTTATGTCCCTACACACTAAACCCTAAACCGATTGTAGGATTCTAGATACGAAGCCCCAAAAGGAACTATTATGGAGCCTGTGGGTAAGCACTGCGAGAAAACCCTTCACAATAAGACCAGGGTTTTTCATGTTCCTGATAAAAGATGGAGATGATTACCCTCAACCCTAAAATCCCTAAACCCTAAAAACCCTAAAGCCCTGCACCCTAGAGCCATTAAAAACCCCTAATAACCCCAAACCCTGAACCCTAAAGCCCTACACCCTAGAGCCAGAACGCTAACTACTCGAAACCTCGGACTAGGTTGCGTACTCTTTGCAGCTTCTTGGTTCCAAGTCCCGCAAGTCCTAAACCCTATGAACCCAAAATCCTAAGCCCCGAATTTTTGGAAGCTAAACCCTACAAGACCTGACTCCTAAGCCCCGAAATTGATGAACCCCCGCTCCCCCCCTCTCCGAGTAGCCCCAATTCACCACCAAGCAATTCCAAGACCCTAAACCCTTCTACCCCCTCGATCTCCCAACCCTTATAAATTGCAATCACTGAAACCAAACTATAGGCTGTGCTGAGCGCTCATGGTTTAGGGTTCAGGGATCTGTACGGTTTATTTGGGGTTTAGGGTATACCAGGATCATGGGACTTAGTAAGTAAGGTTATAAGTAGCTTAAGTGGGGTTATAAGGTAATTAAAAGTACAGTTACATTACTTACAACCCTAGTTACTAAGTCCCATGATCCTATAAGTATACCGGGATTGTGAGTCTTCCACTACAGGACTGGGGTCCGAGCTTCGTCGTGGTGAACCCTAAACCTGCACGAACGAAGCAACACAAGCAACTTAACAATGGGTATAGGTGTGTAAACATAAAACTCATATATAACAGTCATATGTACATGTATGTGTATGTATGTATGTGTGTATGTACGTATGTATGTATGTATGTATATAGGTATACACATGCATGCATGCATGCAGGCATTTTCGAGGTTACGAGTCGTTTACTCTTCTTGTTATGCTTCTATGACTGCAAACTGGGTCCCTGGCCGGTGGTGGCGTCGGGGGAGGCGCCTTGCCTGGCAGTGGGGTTCAGGGTCCAGGGGTTGCCGGCGGTGGTGTCCGTTCGTGGTCCGGATTTCGGTTTCTGGGAGGGGAAGGGGGGGGTTAGGATTTAGGGTTTAGGGTTTAGGGTTTAGGGTAGGGGTCTTGGTAAGAAGCTGCACTTGTGTTGAATTGGTAGGATACGTAACGAAGCTTTCTAGAACGACTACTACACTGGGTATCCCAATCCCAACCAGATCCCCCTGAAAACCCACGAGCACTGCTAAGCCCCTAGACCCTAAACCCCAAAACCCTAAATTTATACCCTACAACCCTAAGCCTCTATGACCCTAAACCCTGCTAAGCCCTACACCCTCGGAACCTGTTGTCGCTGTAGGGATCGCCGGCGGGAAGTCCTGCCGCACAGGCTACAGTGGCAGGATCAGGACCTCAGGTGTTGGGCGTCGTGCAGGGCTCATGTAAAAGTGGATTCCATCATGCTTGCTATAAGGGTTATTACAAGGGTGCAATAGATATAGGGGCCTTTATAGTTAGAAAGGCGTTTTTGGGCCCATTGTATAGTCAATCAGGAACGGGTAATTATCTACCTTAAACTACCAAACCCTACTTTTTTGTAGTTATAAACCCTAATATGGAAAATTCTAGGGACCCTACAAAAAAGTAGGTTTTGGGAGGTGAAGGTAGGCTTGCTTTTTTCAAAGCAGCCACTCGTAGCTCGGCCGGCACGGCTTGTTCTCCGGCAGGCTGGCACTCCCTGGCCCTCTCGGCCGCGGAGATGTAGACTAAACGGATCCAAGTTGGGGGTTTAGGGTTTAGGGTTTAAGGTTTAGGGTTTAGGGTTTGTTTTTTTTTTTTAAAGTGTGTTGGGTTTAGGGTTTAGGGTTTACGGGTCACACAAAACCGATCACCCTGGGGGACCTCAAGCAGGCACCCCAGGATGTTAAAACACGGGCGAGAATCGAAAGGACCCATAAATCTGCCTGAAATCAGCATGGAAGTTTCCGAAAATTAGGGGTACCTTATGGTGGGGCCCATATATAATACATTCGATTAATTTAGGGTACTATATTATGGTCCCCTATGTTCGGCACCTCCCACATCATTCGGATCCTGTGACAACTCTCTTCAGGATGAAAAAGGTGCCTCCGAAGAGCATGATAAGGCCGGTCACCATCGAGAAGGTGCCCACGATCTTGCCCAGAAGCCCCTGGCCCGCCACTGCGCAGATGTAGCCTGGTACAACGCGGCAGAAAAGGGTTTTTGGGCGGCACATTATACTATAGTGATAGTGAGGACCCCCCAAAAACAGAAAACAGTTAGTGTTTGTAATTATAATTATAGTATTAAGGCCCCTGTATTAGCCTGGTACAACGTAGCAGAATAGGCTGAGGCCCGTAGAACCACAAAGTCCGATGACGTCGGGCAGATCCGGCACGGCAAGGTCCAGCAAAATCACGATCAGCATCCTTGCTTTAGGGTTTAGGTTTTGGGGTTTAGTGGTTTAGGGTTCTAGGGTTCTGTGCAGTGAACCTATCAAATATGACGCTGAGGAAGATTCGAACAACGGAAAAGTCTGACCTTGCTCAATCGTGGGCCAGCATCCCAGCCAGGCTAACGAAGTGCCTCGCATAGCGTCTGCTCTTCAAGCCTTAGATCAATCAAATCATCCCCCTAGTGAGATGGAATTAGAGTTTCAGGCAGAGTTTTGGCTTGTTTACCCTAGACCCCAAGCCCGAAGTCCCTCAACACCAAACCCTATAAAAACCCAAACCCCAAACCGCCAAGAAGCCCAGGGTCTGAACGTTCAAGATCATGTTGACCATCGGGAAGTTGATGACGGGATATTCGAGGACGATCACGATCACCAAGGCCGCGCACAGCAGCGTGACGGGGTAGTTGTCCACAGGGAAGTTGTAGAGCACGTTTCCGTAGCCGTTGCCCTTTCTCTGCTTGCCAGCGTCGGTGCCGAATGCCAAGATGCAGAAGCCTGACACCAGCAAGTACAAGATGAGAACCAAAATGCCAGAAAGGATGGCAGTCTTCTTCATGCGCGGGAAGGCTTGCTCCACCCCTACTGGACTTTGAAGTAACCAGGGAGAAAAAGTATAGACTTTTGTTTCATAATGGTTCCTTTAAGGAACAGTTACCAAAAAAAGTATTCAAGTATGGCAAAACCTCCCAAAAGCTGAGCATGCCGGTAAATGCAAAGCAAACGTTGGGAGCAGAGGTGACGAATGCCTTGAGGTCTGGCACCGCGGCTGGTGTCGCATACCTTGATGCTCCATGCACACAAACAATGTATTTGGCCTGAAAGTATATAGTCCCTTTTCGGTACATTGTGGCCAAAGTGTCTACTATTTGGGTACATGGACCCTGAGGGTTAGACTCTAAGGCTCTAAGGACTCATGTGTTATGGCTTTTGGGCCCATAGGCCATATAACTACCAAAGACTTTGGGCTGTTTTCTGAGCCTTAGGATACATGTCCAGTATCCTAGGGGAACTAACGGTTAGCCCTTTGGGTTGTATAAGGATGATAGTACGCCAAAAGGTTAAAGTTTACTGGCTCTACAACTGCGATACTCGCCCTGGGCTCCCAAACCACGGCCGACGGAGATGCAGGAAGAGATGACCACGGTGGCACAGAGCAGCATCACGACCAAAGCAACACTGTGCCCCACATGCTGCAAAGCAGCGAGATTGTCGGCGAAGCAGAACGGGCTGGCAACACCAAGGAAAATCACAATCAACGCACCCCGCTGGAAAGTGCTGAAATGGTATTGCCCATAGTCGTCGGTAACGAAGACAGTCAAGAGGTCAAAAAGCATTCCTGCGATAGTTTGCATGTGTGCAGCATTGGCAATCAGCATGGAAACGAGGAGACTGACCCGAGAGAAAGCACGAGCCAGCGGCGCAAGGCGGCACAGATCCTCCCAGGACTGCGTGTTGTGATGCTTGACAATGTCCAGCAGGTTCAGCATGAGAAGTGTGGACAACAGCCCAAAGTAGCAGCAAAGGCCCATCCCCCAAAGCCATCCGATCGAGTTCAAGACAGTGGGGAGTGAAAAGACACCCACTCCCAGCGACATCGCGCTGAGTAAGAAGACGGAGCCTTGATTCAGGACTTAGGGTTTCGGTTTAGGGTTTAGGGAGTAGGGTTCAGCGTAAACCCTGAACCAGTTCAACATTGAGGCTCGATGCTGTCGCCTGTAACATGCATACTCAAAGCTGCCAACTTCTACCTCATGTCCAATACAGCTATCATACCCTGATCAGAATATGAACCTTCCCACTAGTGCTGGTAATCATTTAGGCCCCTATATCCCTAAATCCCTCATAATACCCCCTGAAAAGCCCTTATAGTATCCCTTCATGGAACTGTCCCTAAATCCCTTTTTATATCCCTAAAAGGAACCCTTGAAAAGGAACCCTAACCTTCGGCGAGTCTTCGCAAAAGGAAAACTGACCTCGGGAGCTGCTAGCCGGGCTGCTACTCAGCGATGTAAGGCCTCCTTTCCTGGGCTTCTAGGTTTAGGGTTTAGGGCTTAGGGTCTAGAGTTTAGGGTTGAGGGTCTAGAGTTTAGGGTTTAGGGTTTTAAGTAACCAGGGAGAAGAAGGTATAGACTTGCATTTCATAATGGGTTCCGTTTCAGTAACAGGTCCCCAATACGGTGTTAACTTACTACCCCAATAGGCCATAGAATCATAGAAATACAAGGTTAAACTTTCCGATTTCTACTAAACTACAAGAACCCAAAAAGTTTAAAGGTTGGGTATTGGAGATCTTAGTTACAGTATACCCTAAACCCTTACGAGCCTTAAAACCTAAACCCTTGAGTAAGAGGCCCCCAAAAGCATTAAAGCATGGTATTCCAAAGCCCAGATTCTCATCGCTATGGACCGACTCGCCGTCGTCAGTAGGGAACATGGCCTGGGCTGCTTCTTCCATCGGCGGCGCTGCACTTTGTACAGAACACTGCCAGGTGGACGTCTCAGCTCATGAAGCAGCTGCAGCAAGCACATGGAGAATCTTTACCTCAGACCTGAACCTCGGCACGCGCACAATAAAATCCTTTTAGGTGTGTTGGGCCATTATGCAACCTACCCTTGTGGGTTAAGGTACAGGACGCTTCCTGAGACCATGATATCATTGCCGGTGTTTCCACATCGTGATGAAGATATTCGTGGATGACCAGTAGTGCTGCTGATGTCGTGACCTTTGTTTAGTGAAATTAGTGCTTACTGGATCAGGCACCACGATCTGGATTCTCCCTTGCATTGTATCGCCTCTCACCTGATTGTATAAGACCTGCCTACTCGTTGAAGGGTCAAGCATATACGCATCCTACACTTCATGCGGTTGATGATATAAATCCTGCATTACCTTAAGGACCCTAAACTATGGGATTTATGGTATATTCCTTATTATGGGTCATGCAGGATTTATATCATCAACCGTGTGTTCCAGTCTACTCTTGAAGATTTCCTTGCTCCAAACTCGCCCTAACCACGAACCCCGAAGCCCCGAAACTCCTGAACTCTACCTAAACCCTTAACGTAGGGAAAAAAAGGCCTGATATCTATTAAAGGCCATTGTTCTATATATTTTCGGAGTAATTCTAATCTAGGGGCCTTCATAATTGCTTAGACTATTTTGGGGGTTCCTTATTCGGATTATAGGATCATATACCCCAAAACCCTATTCTAATTGTTGAAGCCCCCAGATTAGACCCTATCCCACATGCGCCCGTTGGCCCCTGTCAGGAAATCCCTGGAAATCCGAGTAATGCAGTGGTCCTATAAAGGCTACCATAGGGTTCCTTGAAGGGTCCTTTCAAGGGAACCATAGGGTTCCTTCAAGGGGTCCTTTAAAGGGTACCATAGCGTTCTCTAAAGGGTCCTAATGGGTGGTCTAGTGTTCCTTTCAAGGGTTCTTTAAAAGGGATCTATAGAGGTTATCGTGGGAGGGGGGGTTCAGTATAGGGGCCTCCATAATTACCATGGGGTCTTAGGAGGGGATGTTAGCCCTTTTTGAACCATCATCAGTGCTGGGACGTCCTCTTCTTTGTCAGCGCCAGCAGCACGTGCCTTTTTTCGGGGTTGCTGACTTCAAGGCTCTAGGAGGGCAATGTAAGAGCCCCAACCGTTAGATTATTAGGGTTGGGGTATATCTATACAATACAATATCCTTATGACAAGGAACCAGAACGAATGCTGCAGGTAATTACACAAGCATTCAGAGTCTAGAGTAATAGGCTTCCGGGTATTGGGGTTTAGGCTAAACTGGGTTCTCATTAAGGAGTTTGATTTAAGTTACCATAATAAAGAAAGCATAAAATTTACTAAAGATCCCTATTCATAATACAGGTAATTTAACTTAAGCTCCTGAAGAAGGACGCAGGCCATAGGGCGGAGCCACGGACATGTTTCAGGGCGGACGGGGTCTCTGAGGCCAAAATGCGAGGGGCTAGGGTTTAGGGTTTCGGAAGCAGCTCTTGAGCCGCATCCTGTGCTGTACATTGCTAGGTGTCGATTTCAGTAGTCCCCAAAAGTATCTATAGGGCTCTATACCTAGACTACGATGCCAAAGCAAAATCTGCCAAATACTTCCAAATGGAAACGCTCTGAACTTTCTATCCCCAGAAACGATTATGAACAGAAACGATTATGAAGCAGCGAATAGCCGCATAGCCTGTGACTACGACACTACGAATCGCACAATCCCAAACCCTCAACCCCAACATATCCCAACATAATCCTAGTCCTGCAACAAGCTCAACACCCTACAAGTTGTTATAGTGAACCCCTACACCCGATATGATGCACTATCATCGTTTTGGTAGTCGGTAACCCTGAAGACCATCGTTCACAGATAGCCCGATACCCATTTACATACGGAATAGACTCAAACTCATAATCGGATGCCCTCCATGACCAAGTCTAGATTCCTTGAATGAAAGGTATTGGGCTCTGGCGTACAGACAGACCCCTCAGCCCCAAGAATGTAGAAGCTTGGTGTTCCTGATTATGACTATACTAGAACTCACAATAAGGAAACCATAAAGGAGCCGTTAACATCCCTGTTCTTCCGACAAGTACAGCAAGCCTCAAAAAGTTGGTAACAGGACTAAGACAATTCGTGCTGGGATTCCCTGTTATTCAGATATTCACTCGTAAGGATTGCGGCTGTTGGGTTTCCAACTTTTGGGCTTCCCCGAGGGCGCTAAGGACTCATAGATTGAGGGTTTTGGGCCCAAAGACCATACTATACTATTAACCCTAAACCCTAAACCCTAAACCCTAGACCCTAAACCCTACACTCTAAACCGATTATACAAGGCTTTGGGGACCCAGGATTCTACTATAAGGCCCTGATATTCCACCACCTTCGGAGCAGCGCCGTCCCCCAACCGAGGTCGAGATTTTGGCTGCGCTGCCTTCGACAAAGAGGTGCAGTGATGTCGGAGTACAGTTCAAGGGTTAGGATTTAGAATTCAGAGTACTTGGAGGATCATGGGACTTAGTAAGTATGGTTATAAGTACCTTAATTGGGGTTATAAGTAATTATAAGTATAGTTACCTTAATTATAACCCGAGTTACTAAGTCCCATGATCCTCTAAGTAGAGGGTTCATGGTTTAGGGTTTAGTGTTCAGGGCATCGGGTTCAGGGTTTAGGGTTAGGGTTTAGAGTTCAAGCTTTAGGGTAAGGGTTTAGAGTTCAATGTTTAGGGTTCAGGGTGTAAGGCTTACAGGGTATAACTGGACCCTGAATAACCTACTTTTCTAGCTTAGGGTTTATATGCATACGTAGAGTTTAAGTTAAGGGATTTTTGTAGGGATGGGGGTATGGATCTGTAGGGTTTAGGAGTTCGCTGGTGTATATGTTTAGGGGTCCAGGGGGTCCAGCGTTAGTTGTGCCTTCCGGTCACATCAAGGGTCTCCTCAGTATGATGTACCCTAAACCCTGATCCCTGAACCGTAAACCCCTATAAACCCTAATCACGAAACCCCTAAACCCTAAACCCTAAGCTGACGTAAATATGAACCACATCCCAGAGAGCCTAAAGCCTATAACAAACTGGGCAAAAGGCAAAAGCCCTACAGCCTAAAGGCCAGTGTAAGAATTAAACCCCGAACCCTATCTGCAAAACCCTGAACCCACTGCCCGAAAAGCCTACAACCCAAAAACCCTAAACACACAAAACAACCTGAACCGTAAAACTTAGGTACTGCCCCTGTACAGTAAGAGTCTACAATAGGGCTACTATTAAGGTCCGATTATATCTATCTTATGAATATTATGCAACTATTACTGAGTGGGGGCCGTACCCAACGTAACACCAAAATCAAATCCTGAATGCCGAAATCCCCAGGACCGAAAAACCCGAAACCCTCAAACCATATTATAGTCCTTTGGGCCACGAAACACCGACCTTTCTAAGGAATTCTATATACAGAAGCCCCAATAAGGAGCCCTAGAATGCTAGGTTTCTTTGGACCAGCCTAAACCCTAAACCTCAAACCTTAAACCGCTAACCCCCTAAACCCTCAACCCGAAACTTGAAACCCCTAACCCCTAAACCCCGAAACCTAAACCCTGTAACCTCAAACCCTAAACTAAACCCCCACAGGCAGGCCTTGGCGTGCTCTTCTGCCGGCCTCGGGCGCGTCTTCGCCGACGCGGCCTGCTCACCGAGGTCGTGGCTGGGTTCGAACTTGGGTTCTTGCTTAGGGTTCCTTTAAAAGGGTCCTATAAGGGTTACTATGGGGGGTTACTTTCAGGGCACTATGATAGAGTGGAAAAAAGTGGGGTCTAAGGCTTAGAGGGTTTAGGGTCCAGAGGGCTGGTTCCTTGAGAGCCTATATTCAGGCTACTATTGAGGTCCTAGTATATCTATATCATGAATATTATCAACTGTTACTGAGTGGGGGCAGTACCCAACCTTCACCTTTTAAAGGGTCCTATCAGGGTTACTAGAGATACTATACATTCCTCTGCCGTCGTATGCCACAGAGGGTTAATACGGGGTTACTATATAAGGGCACTATGATAGAGTTCAAAAAACACACCAGGGTTTAGGGTTTGGA